TGTGTGTGTGTGTGTGTGTGTGTGTGTGTGTGTGTGTGTGTGTGTGTGTCTTTGAAATTCAGAAAAGAGGAGGGTGCTGGGATCCCTAAAACTGGAGGTACAGCAGTTGTGAGCTGCCCGGTATGGGTGCTGGGAACTGAGCTCAGGTCTCCTGAAGCCAGCAACAGCTCTGAACTGCTGAGCCTTGCCCCAGAAATTGCTTTGTTTTGTTTTCTGAAACAGGGTCTCAGTACATAGTCCTGGCTGACCTGAAACTCCCTGTGTAGTCCATGCTGGCCTCAAACTCAGAGGTCCAGCTGCTGGGGTTAAAAGTGAACAGCGTCATGCCTGTGGCTTCCCTGAGACACCGCCTCACCCTCCAGTTTCACACCTGTGTCTGTCTCTAGGAAAGACTCACCCGCAGAAGCAGAAAGCTCAGAAAGGACCTGGGGGAGCTTCAACGGCTCAAAGCTCAGGAAGAGCGGATGCTGCACGCTCCGCAGGTGGGTGTCTCAGTCCCAGGGAGGGTCTAGAGTCGGAAGGACCTCTCCTTTTGTTGTGGACAACTGTCCTGGAGCAACCTGCTGTGGAATTATGGTCATGTAGGCTGAAAACTGGGGTTTGGGGCTTGGCTCTGAGATTGGTGAACAGAATGACTTGGGATGTGTAAACCTTCTGAACTCCACACATCTTCTTTCTTAAGGAAAAACAGCTGTTCTCCCAGGTACGTGGTGAGGATTAAGAGAGTTGAAAATCACTGCCCATCTTGCCCTTGACAATCACACTTTTCTATCTCTCTTGCTCACTTGGGTGAGCTCTCTCCTCACAGGATTAAAGGCAGACACCAAAAGAACATAGCTGTCTGTGTGCGCACGCGCGCGTGCGTGTGTGTGTGTGTGTGTGTGTGTGGTGTGTGTGTGTGTGTGTGTGTGTGTGTGGCGTGTGTGTGTGTGTGCGGTGTGTGTGTGTGTGTGTTCCACTACGACAGGACCTACTATCTGTAGATGTGCCCGGCACTATGAGGTGGGAAGAGAGGTGCTTTGTGAAGAGTTCAATTGCTTCTGCAGGACAATGGCTGGCGAGGAAAGAATGCGAAGGAAGAGGAATAGAGGTCAATATTCCCACCCAGCTGCTCAGTGCATAGAGATCCAGGGACCCGATCATCAAATCTCAGGGTAGCTCCTCTTCTGTGGTTTCAGGTGGATTGGGGGAGCTACAGGCTAGGAGCAGAGTTGCAGAGCCAAGATCAAACCACGGAACAGTTGAAGGCCCTACCACAGCATCGTCTGGACCAACAAGAGGACCAGCCAGCGGAGGCAGTCAAGATCTTTCACTTCTCTGAGGCAGTAACACAGCTCAGCAGCCTGATTTCTGGACTGGAAAGGATGGCCAAGGAATTAGATGCCAGAACTCTGAAGGTGTACTTCCTAAGGCACCCCCAAATTCAGGGAGGGATTCTTGGAATAGTAAACAGCCTGCCTGCAGGTCCCTTCTGGGAGGTGTAAGGGGACATGTTCCCGGGCTATGTGATAATTGGGGGTATGTATGTGTTTGTGTGTTGAGAGTGGCTTCTGGTGGTCACACCATGATACCACAGAATGAGGAGCAGAAGAAAAGGGTTATGCCCTCCAGCTTTCGTGGTGGCAAGCAGACTGACCTTCAAGCATGAGCTAGGATGGGCATTCAGTGCCAAGAACATAGTAACTGACTGTGATTGTCACCTTTTCTCTCCCAGGATGCCAGTGACTTACTGGACAGGTATGACCCCCTCTCCCTCTGTCCCACACTTGAAGACACAAGCAGATCCACATGACATAGATGTGCATATGGGCTAAATTAAAGTCAAGGAGACGTACTTGGTACTTTCATATGACACGGGCAGTGGAAGATCCAGTAGAATATGTATGAACATGTGAATGATTTCTTTGTTTTTAGGAGTGTGCCCCAGAAATTAGAAGGACTCCTCTCTCATCTTCCTCCAGTGGATCCAAACCTCAGTTAGTTCTCCTGGCGTGTTCTCTCCTGATGCCTTAACCTCTGACAATCGGACACAGTCTCAGCGGGGCACACCTGAATCCACGTGGCAAAGGAGTCAAACCAGGAAGCAAATTCTGAAATATATATATATTCAAATCCAGAGGTTAAATTCACAGGCTGTATCTGTGTGAGTTACAGCCAAGCAGCGCGGGGCGGTGTTAGGCTCGCCTGCTAGGCATGGCAGGCCAAAAAACTGTGGCCTTGACGGAAGTATTGCAAAAGAAGTTCCCCAGCCCCAATGTAGCTGGTGCGCGAGGGGGAATGCTGTTGGCTCAATCAGCAGTCGCAGCACAAGTCGGAAAATTCACTGACCCCACACTGCTGCTTCTGCTGAGCAGAAGCTGTGCTGAGGACAGAGGCAGCGGCACCGAGGGGGAGGGGGGAGGGGCCAGCCACTGTTGCGTGGAAACTGCAGGAATAAAAATAGAAGCCCCACGTTGGGTGCCAAAATGATGATGCAGGGCAATCGGTAATGAAAAGTCCCCAGACTAGCTTAATACAAAATATACAGCTTTAATAAACAGAAGAAAGGAAACTTACAAAAACCAGGGTTCCGGTGATTCAGGAACGTAGAGGGCAAAAAGAGGAGGAGGCAAGCGCACCTGGATCTTTTATTTGTTTTGTGTGGCCCCAGGGGGACACACCCTAAGCAGAATGTGATTGGCTGAAGTTCCCCCATCATCCTTCCTAAGCCAGGCTTGAGCTGTGGCTCCTTGTGGCCAGGCATTTCGGATCTTCATCATGTCCAGGGCCATTTGCGCGATCTCCATATTACCTGTGAACTGCTGGCCGCACCTGCTGTCCATGGTCTCGTGTGAGCATCCAAGCGTCCGGACGACACAGATCATCAGAGTGAGGCCACCTCAGCGTACGGAGGTTGACAGGTTTATTGGAGTGATATTTCTTCTGACTGGATAAAACCTCCTGTCTGTACTGTCATCACGACTGCTGCAAACAGACACAGGGTGGTGTCTACAGTCCTCATCCTCATGGTCATGTACCTGTGTAACCTTGTCACGCGTGTGAGTGGCGTGTGTGACTTTCTTCTCATCAAAGGGATATAGCAGAGGTGATGAAGGTCACTGAAGTGACCGTATCTCCTGCCTACATCTTCCAGCTGACAGGAATAAGGGAGCCTGGGTCTTACAGTCGCAAGAAAATGAATTCTGCTAACACTGTAAGCAAAGCTGGAAGTAAATCCTTCTTCTGGGAACTGGTAGCGCCCCAACCTCTTACCCTGCTGAAGTTTCCATAAGGCCTGAAAAGTGGTAGAAAAATTCTCTTTTTTTTTCTTATTTCCACATCTGTTTTTTATAATAAACTTTCCTACTTAAACTAACTGGGATGGGTCTCTCTTCTTTGAAATAGAAAGCTTTTACAGCGTAAGTAGGGAAAGTCGGGAGTTAAACCTGTGCCTGTCAGGTAAAGTGTGTGAAGATTCTCGAGGGTCTGGTAGAGAGCAATTGGGAGCCTGGAACTTTTACACAGATTGAAGCTCTTCTGGGGGAAGCAAATCGAGTCCGACTCTCACAAGAACAGCCTGGAGGTCCACTGGTCACCTCACTGGGAGGTCATTCCGTCTACCTCCTTTAACAGGAAGTAAGCTTCAAGGTGCCCTGGGGAGGATCGTAAGCTGATGGGTTAAAAGGAGTATATTCACTTGCTCGAAGGTTTACTTCTCAGTTTAAGAAATACAAATTATCTTTCAAAATGGCGTTCAGTTGTAGTGAGCATAGTCAGCATCAAAATACCCACCAGGGCCTCACAACCACCAGTTTCCAAACAAAACAGTCTGGAAAAGTGTTCAAGAGATCAGAAACCAGACATGGATTGTAAAGTCCTGGCTGTATGATATTGGATGAGCAAATAATCAAATTTTACCAGGCCTCAGCTCTCCTCTCCTCTTCCTTATCATTCATTTGCTCCACTCCCACCCCACGCTTTTTCTTTCTTCTCCCTTCAACAGGGATTAATGCGGGTCAGGCTAGCGTCAAATTTGCTGTTTTACTGTGAGGTAGAGGCTGACCTCGAATTCCTGATCTTTTTCTTCTACCTACTGAGACATATGGACATTACCACACAGCTGCCTCCTTCGTGCAGACCAGCGAGATGGCTCGGTAAATAAAACGCTCTCTGTGTAAGCATGGAGACTGGAGTTCAGAACCCCAGAACACATGTAAAAGCTGAGTAGCTGCCTATGATCTGAGATCTCACAGGGAAAAGTCAGAAGCCCCAAATCAACTAGCTAGCTAGACTAACCAGAACCGATGAGCTGGGAGTTCAGCAAGAGACCCTACCAAACAAGTAGAGAGTGATTGAGAAAGACATCTGACATCGGCCTCAGGGCCCACACACATGCACACATATGTGTACTTGAAACCATATACATGTGTGCCCCACACATATAACCATACATACACATATACAAAGCACACATAAAAGGAAAAAAGAAAAGGGGGAATGATAATAGAATAGATCTCACGGAGTTACCAAAATAAGTGCCAAAAGGGACATGATGCCTTAGAGCAGGGAGGAACTTCATACACCTTAGAGGGTCATGGTCGTTTTAAATACTCAAGTAAAACTGGTACAAAGAAGCAGAACATATAGTCACCAGGGGGTGAGCGTAGTCCTTGGATTATGGTTTATGATCATAACCACTGTGGGGGTCCTCGTTCCTTCTCAACCTGTTGGTCACGAGATTGAGAGGGGAAAGAGGCAGAATGGGTGACACAAAGCTTTGTACACAGTCCATGAGCACGAATGGAGACAGCCGTCCAGGAGAGAGAGTTTAGTCAACTGGCTCAATTTTATTCGAGTATAAGGAATACAGAATTGGGGAGCCTGGGAACAAACCCTAATTTGTGTTAAGTGGCACACTCCTATCACAAGGCTTAGTCCCGTGGCAGTAGGGTCCTATAGCAGAGCTCCTAGACCAAGGATCTGTGCCAAGGGTCAAGCTAAAGAGGAATCAAGCATCAGGTTTTAGAGACAGCTTTTAGATAAGATCAGTCCTCCAGGCCCAGCAGTTCTCCAGATAGCAGGCAGAAGCAGGAAGTTCTGCTGGAGGGCAGAGCCCGTGTTATTGAGATAAGCTGCTAGACTAGGAGGAGGCTGGACCTCTGACCAAACAGCAATGTCTTCCAGCAAGCCCCTGTCCCCCTGACTGACCTTCACCTCACCTTAAACTGACTCCACCGGTTGGTGGAATGGAGTGAAGATTGTGTGCATCTGTCCAGAAGGACGTGGAGATGAACCCAGTGCCTGAGAGAGGTCAAAGGCCAGGTCAGCTCCATTCCCTCTTCTCCCTCCTTTTCTCTCAACAAGTGCATCTTCTAAAAAACCATCCTGATATCATATTCTCCCCAAAGACACGGCAGCATTCTATCCTCTGAGCATCCACAATGCCTAGGGAGATTCCTATCACAACAGCCACCACGAAGAGATTTTGTCTTTATGTCACTGTCCTCCCAGTGCTCCTTCAACTTCCTTTCCAGTTACCAATGGTTACCATGTGGAGTAGGAGGGCCTTCTGTCTATGTGTTACTTTCATTGGTCAAATAAAGAAACTGCCTTGGCTTTTTGATAGGACAGCAGCTTAAATAGGCAGAGTAGACCAAACAGAATGCTGGGAGAAAGAAAGCAGAGTCAGGCCGACGCCATGATTCTCTGACCCGAGACGTACATAGGTTAGGATCTTTCCCGGTAAGCCACCACCTCATAGTGCTACACAGATTATTGGAAATGGGCTAATCAAGATATGAGAATCAGCCAATAAGAGGCTAGAATTAATGGGCCAGGAAGTGTTTAAATGAATACAGTTCCCGTGTAATTAGTTCGGGTAAAGCTAGCCAGGTGGCGGGAAACGGTCCGCAGTTCTTTTTACTACAACCATGATTTGTTCATGGTTAGCATTTGTTCATGGTTAGCATAGAAAAAAAATGTTTCCTTTTTTCTCTTTTTGAAAGGTTCCACATTTTATTACAGAACCAACCAGCTAGCCATCGTGGGACAAATAAAAACAAACAAGGACCCAATTTAAACAATGACCAAACTCCAGATGTTAAAGTAAGAACTGCCCACTAGCTAGTGGAACTGTTTGGGAAGGATTAGGAGGCGTGGCCTTGTTGGAGGAGGTGTGTCACTGAGGGTGGGTTTTGAGGTTTTAAACTCCATACCATTCCCAGTTATCTCTCTTCATCACATAGTTGTGGATCAGAATATAACCTCTCAGCTACTGCTCTGGCACCATGCCTATCTGCCTGTTCCATGCCCTCTACCATAATAATGGTCATAGTCTCTGAAACTGTTGGCCCCAAATTAGCTCTTTCTCTGTAGGCTGCCTTGCTCATGGTGTCTTATTGCTGCAGTAGATAACTACTTAGTAACTACAAAGACAGACAGTTTTGCTCTTTTTTTTCTTGTCAGGAATTACTTGATCCTGAAAGTCCTTTTTCGCAAGTTGGATCTAATAGTTGTTGTTTTTTTTAATTTTTATTTGACGTTGAACAGATAGGGTTAACACACCCAGCAACCCCAGTGAGTGTTGCTCACACTGGTCTCACTGGGGACAAAATCCTAAAAACACATCTCCAAAAATGCACTGTGCCTGGTTCTGGACTCTAAACCAGTTATAGATGACACTCTGCCCTCCCCATGAGGAGGTAGGGAAAAAGGAGGAAAAATAACATTTTTCTTTGCACAGTGGTGACAATATTGTGAGGGGTCTCCAGGACCACTGGCCCCCATAGCACCCCTACTTCCCAGACAGCTTCTAGTACAGCTTGCAAACCTAGTCATTCCATTCTGCCTGGTAAGACATGGAAGCCATAGGGGCTCCCAGGTGGTCTTTCTTGTGGAAGACTGTCACCTTCAGACCTATTGCTGAAGATGGGTTTGTCACTCTTGGTACGCCAACCAGATGTAGCACTGGAGGTCAGTGTCACTGGCAGGTCCAGAGCCCGCATAGTCCAAAATGACCGTCCTACTGCCGATGCCATTGCCTTTCATGTTGACCACTGGAAAATGGTACCACTCCCTGGGACCGCCTGGAGTCTGTAAGGACCAAGGTGTAGATAGGGATTCCCGAGTCAAGGCCATCCCATGAGAAGTGCTGGGTCTAGGTGGGTGGGTATCAGCCCTTTGCCCAGTTCATCCACCTCCACTTGGTGCTAGAGTCACCATCTGCCTCCTGCAGGCTCAGCAGCTCAGCCACTGGCTGATGTCAGTTGCCGTGGAGGTGGCGGAAGCGAAGGCACGCACTGGTCCTGAGAGTCGTGGGAGAGGACATGGTGAGAAGTCACGTCAGGTTGTGGCGCATGATGGTAGAAAAAAAAAACACTTCTTTTTCAAATAATACTTTTATTTATTCTTTCGGGATTTCATTCATGTATACAGTGTATTTTGATCATATCCACTCCTCCAAAATGTTTCTTGAAGACATGAATAAATTAACTGATGTTTTTAGAAGAAAGCAAATAAGGAGGTAGAGTGTTTTGCTTGAAATCATGTGGTTGGTTGATACAGGACTTCGTCTGGAACCAGGTCTGTTTGTATATCTATGTCTGTGCCCATTGACAACAATGGTGAGTACAGCCAGCGGCAGCCAAGGTCGCAGATACCCTGACCATCTATGGGCACTGGGAAAGGCTTGAACAATGATCGGACTAAAGGTCCTACCACCTAGTCCCTTACTGACACAGGCCCTAGCAATTGCTTTAAAAAGCCATTTTTGTGCCTGGTCGTCCAGGCAAGGGTCAGCGCCCCAGGATGCTTGATTTCAGTTTTGTACTCAGAGGAGGGAAACTGTACCTTCTCGGCAGCTCAGGGAAAAACTAGAGCCTCTGCCCCAGAGTCCGAACAAGGGAAAGATCTCCCGTGTGAAGGAGGCAGTGAAGGTATAGATGTGTTCCTGGGTGACAGCGTTGACAAAGGTCACCCAGCCTACCTCGTAGTCAAGACACACCTGCACCTTTCGGGGCTGCTCCTCCAGGGCCAGCCTCGTGGGGAAGGAACCCAGCGCTGAAACAAACCCCCAAGCCAGTCTCACGGCCCATACGCCTTCCTCCGGTCTCAGCCGCAGCTCTCCTTTGCGTCGGACGTCCTCTCTCACCACACCTACGGTGCAGCTGCCTCCGTGGACCAAGTCAACGTTCACCACCCAAGTGTGTCTCCCTCCGGTAAAGCCACGTCGGGCCAGGACACAGGTGGCTCGGTCAAAACGCTGCGGAGAATCTGGCGAATTCTGCCATTTGTAGGAGAACCGAGCCCTCCGGTGGTCTTCAGACAGGAGCAGCTTGGGGTGGGAAGTCTGGGGGTCTAGAGCAATCTGGGCTGTGGAATAAAGCAAGAGACGGGTATGTCAGCGGATGTGCTGTGTCTTACTAGGATGGCCTGAAAGCTGATTTGCTGTAGGAAGTCTTACAGCCAGTGGTTTCCCGCCCACTGGGACGTGGCCTCTTATATATGCTGATGTAGAGCTTCTGCGACCGGCCTCTTTTCCAGCCGCTCTTTCTGGTTGCTGGATTCGGTTTCCGTTCTCCATTCCAGTAGAGGATTCTGATTTGTGAGTTTACCCCTAAATAAGTAACCATCTATTTCTCAATTCTGAGCTAGTGTGGGATTTAAGTGTCCTTCCACACTTAACTTCCATCCCTGCCGGCTGGTGTTAAACCACCCATGTGTACCGGAGCACGGGCATCACCAAGAAACAGGTTAGATCTACAGACTAAAAGTCTGCATCCTAAAAAAAAATCCAAGGGAATGCATGTACACGTTAAAGCCGGGAAAGTCAGTCACAAACAGTACGCTGTCCTCGCTTGTCTGCCGTCCTCTAGAAAGCTATACAGCTCATGTTGGGGAAGACAGGGGACTCCCTAATACACAACCTGCCTCACGCATGGGCACCCTCACACTATACCCTATACACGGCCTCCCAGCTCCATCGTTTCCCTTAGGTACATACAACTTCTTTGTGCAGGGGCACACTGATACTGACACAGAGACGCTTTTACACATATCCTCTCCACAAACACTCTCGCCCTCTCTCTCTCTCAGCTCACAGTCCCCCTCACGTACAACCAGCCTCTTATGGCCTTACTCACACAGCCAGTCATCCATCTGCATGCACATCCGCCCTTCCACAGAGCCACCATTCCACACAGCCGCTCTCACAGCCGTGCATTCAGCCTCCCCTCGAACACATTCTTCCCAAACACAGGCAGCCTCACATACAGCCAGCCACCTTCACAGCCTCCTCACATACATCCTTTCTCACACACTGCTCCCTCGCCTGAGGCCAGCCTCCCACAGCTTCTACACACAGTGTCCCTTCAACATGTTACACACTTCACGTGTGACACACACACACAGCTTCTCTTTACACCCCCCTCATACGTGGATGCCCTCACAAACAACCTTCCTCACGAACAGCCCTCAGGATAGCCTCCTACATAGTCACCCTCCCACATAGGCTCTCTTGTACACAGCCTTCCTCATACAACTACCTCTGCACACGGTTGCCTCCACACGCAGCCTCTTCACGCAAGGTACTCTTACACCTTATACACAGCCATTTGGCAGCTTCTTCACACACTGACACTCTTGCACACATGCACACACACACTCATGCACTCACACACACACTCATACACACGCACCTCACACCCACAGTATCCCTTGCACAAGCACCCTCACAGACAGCCTCTCCCCTCACACACATCCTCTCTCACACACTGCTTCCCTCGCCCGAGGCCAGCCTCCCGCAGCTTCTACACACAGTGCCCCTTCACACGTTACATGCTTCACACGCACCACCCTCACAGCCTCTCCCCTCATACACAGCCTCTCTCACACACAGCATCCCTTTAAATAAGCATCCCTTGCATCCAGCTCTCACCGTGCACAGACACGCTCATAAAAAAGACTCCCTTACACGGCCCCCCACACGTGTCCACCATCACACACAGCAACTCCTATGCACAGCCTCCTCATAGCCTTCCTTCCGGAGCAGCTTCCTTACCACAGCCTCCCCACCACATCCTTTCACACGGCCCCCTTCAGACGTGGCTACCTTCACACACAACCACCCCAAACACAGACTCTCTCATGCACAGCCTCCTCACTAATAAACATGCCTCCACACAATCATTTTTACACGCAGTCTGCCTTTATATACAGCCTCTTATACAGGCCATCCTCACATACATCTTCCTCAAGTCACCTCTCGCATGGCTACCTTCATACTCAGCCTCCCCTCTCACACAGCCTTCCTCACAGCCTTCCTCACAGCCTCTCCTTTAGCGTACTTCTCAGAAGCAGACATTTTCCTCCTTTCGATTCCAACCTGGAGTTTCTTCTCTGCTTTGGCTGAGGATACAATGACTCATTTGTCCGGCCTTTCTTCCTCTTCACCCTGGGGTTATTCACTCTTTTTCAATCATTCTCAATTGTTGGACTCTGACTGCCATTTTTTCAGAGACCCCAATTCTTCCCCATATATTACTAGGTTGAATATTTCTAAACTGAAGAATTTTAGGAAATGGTGGTGCATACTTTTAATCCCAGCACTCGGGAGGCAGAGACAGATGGATCTCTGTGAGTTCAAGGCCAGCCTGGTCTATACAGTGAGTGTCAGGACAGCCAAAGCTACATACTAAGAGCCTGCCTCAAAACCAAAAACAAACAAACAAAAATCCTAAATGGAGAAAACCTATCCATGCAGACTTATCTATGGATTAGGGAGCCCCTTCCCAACAGTTCCACAACTCTCCTGGGTCTTTGGCTGGCTGATGGGGAAGTAATAGCATTAAAGAGGTTCTTTCTGTTCATTTCTGTCTCTCTTGTAAGCTTCTCTGCTTCTCCAATTTAAAAACTGACATCTGAGAGGGAGTGGAGGTTTCTGACAATTCTGATAATGTGACTCTACACAGACAAAAGTTGCCCTCATCCTGAAAGGGCATCCCTGACAGACCATACTCATTTTTTTTTTGGTCTAATTATTCTGCCCAATGTACATGTACCAATCTGGAGACCAGATTTACCAGGAATACATATGTGCCTGTCCTCACTTCATGGCCCTCCTAGGGGCCTTATAAAGCCATACCTCAATATCTGTGAGGTATTTTTTCATTTGCATACTAAACTTCACAAAAGCCCAAGTGCCCAAGTGCCTCATGTAGAATAGTGTAGTATTTACATGTAAACTACACACACCCTCCCAATTACTTCAAACCATCTCTAGGTTGCTCATGTTACATAATACAATATAAATGCTATGGCAATAGTTGTTATACTACATTATTTAAGGAGTAATGAAAAGGCAGAAATCTTACCACATTCATTATAAAGCAGTGTTTTTCTATCTGGGGCTGAATGTGGAATCTATGGACATGGATGTGTATGTATGCTTACATACACAAGTCGTGTGTGTGTGTGTGTGTGTGTGTGTGTGTGTGTGTGTGTGTGTGTCTATATAAGAATTTCAATGCACAGTGCAGGACCCAGAAGCTGCTTACCTGGCTCATAGTCCAACTCAAAGCAGAGTTTTTCTGTAAGGAGGAAATAATGACAAGATGAGATTTCATTAATCTCAAAGCTGCAGAACACTCAGAGATGAGGAAATGGAGGTTCAGGAAAGGGAAGGAGCAGAGAGAAGAATGGAAGTTGGAATTCTCTAGACCAGTTCTTCTAAACACCTAAACCTCTTAGCATACTTACTCTCATTTCAAATGTAGACACTCTGGGACAGGCCTGCAGATGTGCGTTCTCACAAATTCTCAGGGATTACTGATGCTCCTGGCCTGGAGCCCCCGGGAGAAGCCTGCTACTCTACCCCTGAGCAGACAGGGCTGTGTCTGCCTTGCCTACCTCTCTGTCTTCACAGACATGTACCAAAGGAAAAGATCAATGGGTTCACTTTGTTTTCTTCTACTTGGAAATAATGTTTGGGCTGGCCAAAAGTCAGCCTTTGATTGGAGTAAGATTTCTTCTACCGCCTAGTCCACGGGAGTCCTTGCAGGAAGCAGACTTTCAGGAATGTCCTCCTAGGGACATGTTTTTGTGGGTGTGACATTTAGAAATAGGTGACATTGTTCATGATGTCACAGTTCGTGAGGAACAGAAAGCTACAACTCGCATTTCTAACTTTCCTGGCTGGCTGCCATTATGACTCCTTCCGGGAAAGGAATGGGGCTCAGTTCCTATAAGGCTCAGTTTAGTCATCCAGACCAATAAAAAGAAGTGGGGGGAAGGGCTGGGGATGTAGGTCAGTGGCTAGACCACTTGTCTACATCCACAGGCCCTGGGTTCAACTTTCAGTAGTGGAAAAACAAAACCAGCGGACGGAAAGCAAAAGAAGAGGGGAGAGTCAGCTCCTGCAGTTAGGCAAAAGCTGTCACTGAGTCACACAGTTGGACGTCAAAACACAATGCCTTGCACGCGCCACTGAGAACTTCTGATGATGAAGAGTGAGGGGGGCTGTTAATCATTATCTCTTCTACTGCTGCGTGTCCACTGTCAGATTTGTTTACAGGTTGATCCCAATCCCCCAATCTTCACCTATTATTTCCCCTCACTGTCACGTCACCCCTAGAGTTAGAGTTTTTGTTTTGTTTTGTGTTTTTTTATGGGCCTTGGCAAATAAGGAAGGTAAGATACTAAAGGAGATAAGCCATGCTAAAATACAGAGCCGTTTGGCAGTGGAGTCAGGAAGTCATTCCCCAACCCAGCTGTGTGCACAGCAGCATGCTATGGAGGCCTAGGGTCTCCTTACCCAGAAAAGTCTTCATCTCCTGCTGCAGAGGGATGGCCTGTTGGGAGAAGTCCCGGATCCTCTGGCCCAGCTCTGGGGAGATAGCCTCAGGTTTCCGGCACTTCCTAGTTTCACATCTAGGGGCACAGAAGCGGTAGGGTCTGGGAATTATTCTTTTTAAAAAATACTTAATTGTACGTGTATGGGTATTTTGCCTGCATGTATGTATGTATGTATGATACATGCTTGCAGTGTCTATGGAGACCAGAAGAGGGCATGGGAGCCACTGGAACTAGAGATGGGTGTGAACTATTATATGGGCTCTAAGTTCAGGATCTTTGCAAGAGCAACGTGTGCTCTTAGCCACCGAGCCATCTCTCCAGTCCCTAGAATTGTTGTTTTTTTAATGATGTCTCCAGGCTGCCATCTTCTTCTAACAAGGCCTGGAGCAGCAGCTTCCCAGTCTCTTAGATGAACCCCACCTACAGCAGTACATGAGAACATGTAAGGGCATGTGTAGATTTACATGGCTGTGTACCCTTCATGTGAGAGTGTAATTAATGTGCATGGCAATAACTAGGTGAGTGGAGCATGGATGGCTATTCACAAGAAAAAAGAAATAGGCATTGAATCACCAACCTTATTAGAGTGCTTCTGATATCCTGGGAGGGAAGGAGGAAGTGGGGGAGAAAGAGAGAAAGAGAGGGAGAGAGGGAGAGGGAGAAGAGAGGGAGAGAAGAGGGGGGAGGGATAGAAGGGGGGAGAGGGAGGGGGAGAAATAGAGGAAGAGAGAGGGGAAAAAGGAGAAAGAGGAAGAGAGAGAGGGGAGGGAGAGAGAGGGGAGGGGAGAAATGGAGGGAGAGAGACAGAGAGGGGGAGAGGGAGGAGGAGAGAGAGAGAGAGAGAGAGAGAGATTCAGTTTCTGGCTTTTCTCTTTTACTTTTGTTATATCCACAAAAAAACCAAAATGCCATATTCCTAGCCTTGGACAAATCCATGGGGACCAGAAACCAGCACCTGACTCCTTCGCTCCATAGTCAGAGTTGGTGATAGGACCCACTTCTAGCTATAGGCAAAAGTAAGCAAGTCCCACACCAAGGTCCCTCAGTTCCCAGCATCCAGTGCGTCCCCTTGAGTCATGCTGCTGCAATCCCCATAACTCTCCTCCTTTTCAAGGAACGCAGCTCAGGAAAAACTTCCTGGCCAGTGGAGGGGACATTCAAGTTATGAAAGAGTTTGCTTTGGAAACCAGTTGTTTGCACAGTGCTTTGTGGTTTTCAAGAGCAACTTCTACCTTATTTTACCATTGGCGCCTCGTTCCTTCCCATTTTATTGATAACAAGGAGACCAAGGCCAGAGAGCACCATGACCAGGGATTACTTAGGGAAGTGTGGACCCTGGCCGTGTTACACATCCCGTCTGGGACACAGAGACATGTATGTAGAGGAGGTACCATGAATCCAGAGACCCCGGGGGGGGGGGAGGGCAGGCCCCATCTCACTGTCAGGAGTCCCCTTGCTGTCCGCTTGCTCTTCTCCTCCAGCTCCTCAATCAGGGTGCTGAACCGGCAGATCTCCCCTGTGGCCAGGGAATCAAACTCTTCCTGTTGCTTCAGGATATCCCCATCCAACCTCTCCAGCTGGGCTAAAAGGACACTCTGTTGTTCCTCTAGGACCCGACTCAGACGTGCAAACTGAGAAATCACCTGCTGTCTCTTGGTGGCCACCTGAGTCTGAGAAGGAAAGATGAGAGGACACTTATGTCTCCCCCATCAGAATCTCCTCCTCTTCCCCATCCCCCTCCCCCTGCCGATCCCCAGTCCCTTTCCCACAGCAGCCCCTCCTCTCCCTCCCTTCCTTTCCTTACACATCATTCCCACTCCTCCAGACCCCAGCTCTGGCCTGTTCTCCACCCCATATGAACGCAGAGCTGCAGCCGGTGTTCTTCCTGCCTGACACCCCGCTTCTCGTTAGGCCCAGCATTGCCCCATTGTCGTTACTGTGGTTTCTAAAAGGGTCTCAGAGACGCCAGAGACGCCTGGCCTCTCGCTGTGCAGGAAGCACACGCTGAGAACACACCACGAAACTGCTGGAGGCGGGATGACACTAATCCCTGCAGGGATTCAGTCGGAAGAAGAATCCTAATCTCCATTTCACAGGTGAGCAAGCTAAAATTAGAGCCGCTCGGGATGGAAGAGTTAGGAAGAGTTACCATCTGAGTCAGAATTCAAACTCAAAACATCTCCAGGTCTGTCTGCTCCGTGGCCTCAGACTCTGGAGGAAGGGACAGGGCCTGGGGAGGGTGGAGACCTACCAGGAGAACCTGTATTCTTTTGTTTTCCCTTGATTGGATTTCTTGAATCTCCTCTCTCTCTTTCCTTAGACCCATAAGACACTTCTGTATTTGTTCCTGGGGAGAAGGAGCATACAATACTTATGATGGAGAAAGTCACCACAAAGGGACGTCACTACCTTCATTCTGCAGAAGTGAAATGCCCCAGAGATGAGTATGAACCTCAGAGCCTTGAGAGACTCCGGGCTTCTTTCTAATTCTAATTTTGAGACTGGTTTCCTGTAGCCCAGACTTACCTCAAACTCAGATCCTCCTTTCTCAGTTTTCCAAACCTTAGGATCATAGGTCAGCACCACCAGGCCTGGCCTTGAGTCTTGTTCCTCTTTGTACTTCAGCGATTCTGACCAGGGTTTACCCCTTCTCACAGACCTTCAAAGGTCAACGACTTTGCTGACCCTCTGAGCCTTTCTTCAGGGGAAACAACTACCTTCTTTGGCATGCGGCAAGTATTATTACCCAGCAAGTATTACCTACAGCCTGAGCTCTATACGTTCTCTGCTGAAACTGAAATTATGTCACCCAAAGGAAATACACACAAATAACATCTTCCTTAAAAAAAAAAAAAAAAAAAAAACCTAGAAAAGATCTGATATGAGAAGAAATCTGGATACAAAAATAATTGATGCAGTATTTTATAAATTGTTCTTGTGTAGTGTTAGGAATAAACACATAAATATTCACGTGTGTGTTTAAGAATACCAACAGATTCTCTGGGATTGTGATTTGTAGGCTGGTTTTCTTTGCTTTATGTTTAAAAACCACTTATGGGGACTGGAGAGATGGCTCAGAGGTTAAGAGCACTGCCTGCTCTTCCAAAGGTCATGAGTTCAATTCCCAGCAACCTCATGGTTCCTCACAACCATCTGTAATAAGATCTGGTGCCCTCTTCTGGCCTGCAGGCATACATGCAGGCAGAACACTGTATACATAATAAAGAAACTTTAAAAAAAATAAAGTAAAAATAAAAACCACTTATGAGTGAGTACATATGATAATTGTCTTTCCGGGTCTGTATTACCTCACTCAATATGTGCTTTCTAGATGCATCCATTTGCCTGCGAATTTCAAGATGTCGTTATAATCCCAGAGAACCTAGATAACAATGAAGATTCTAAGAGAGACATTCATGGATCTAATGTACATAGGAAGTAGAAAAAGACAAGATCTCCTGAGTAAATGGGGAGCATGGAGACCATGGGAGAGAGGAAGGGAGGGGAGCAGAGAAAAATGTATAGTTCAATAAAATCAGTATTTAAAAAACGTAAAAAAAAAATACTGACAGAAAAGCTGGGAATGTAACTCAGTCATCTGAGTGTTTGCTTTGCATGCAAGAAGCTTGGGTTCAATTCCCAACACTGCAGAAAATGATATAATCATAAATGCCTGCATAAAATGCCAATAATCCCAGTGTCCAGGGGATAAAGGCAGGAGAGTCAGAAAGTCAAGGTCATCCTAGGCAATATAATTAGTCTGAGGCAAGCCTACATTAAGACCTGGCAGAGAGAGAGAGAGAGAGAGAGAGAGAGAGAGAGAGAGAGAGAGGATACACAGAGAAACCTCAACCTCACTGTCAAAAGATCATTAACAAATGCTGTAACATACATTTAAACACATGTTTGTAACAAAATACAGTACCTAAATAAAAGTACCTAAAACCAGCAATATACTCAGTGAGCAATAAAAACATATGCCACATATATTTATCCAACTAGCTTATTCACAACCGGAATTCACAACACAACATTCCTCATGCTTCAAATATTCCACACTCAGACCACCCCTCCACACACAAGGTGCTCACTCTTGGAAATATACAAACATCACCATTCCCTAAAACACAAACCTCAAGCACACTTAACTGATACAGGACACATATTTTGATGGTGCATTCACTCAGAAAGGATTTAAGCGAGCTCCTACTATATGAAACAACATAAACCTGTGCTTTTCTGTGCTTGAGTCTGTTGCCTGGAAGATCAAATAAGTACGGAGAAAAAATTTGGAGTTAGGACACCCCTTCCACCCCAGAATCCACAAGGCCGTTCTACTTCCCTTGGTCCAATCCAGCTCCCACAAGGGTCCCCCAGAGCCCTTTCCTACCCTGCAGGGATGCTCTCCTACCCTGTAGGGACCTGCTGCGTCCTCCAGGAAGCGCACGGTGTGAGCCCCATGCTGTCCGGCCTCGCGGCACACCACACACAACTGTGCTTCATCCTCCTCGCAGAAGAAGTAGACTTTCTCGCCGTGTTCGGGACAGGCATCCTCCACCTCCAGACCTTGCGTGGATGCCAGCTGAAGGCGTTCGATGTTCTCTACCACGTTGGCCAACTGCCAATTGGGCCGGAAGCTCCCTGGTCGGAAAGGCTCTTTGCAGAGAGGGCAACTGAGGGACTCCTCCGATTCCGGGCCTGGGATTTCACAGTAGCGAGTGAGACAGCCACGACAGAAGTTGTGGCCACAGTCGATGGTAACTGGCTCCCTTAGGGTGCCTTGGCAGATAGGGCAGTTGACCTCATCTGCCAGGCTAGTCACAGAAGGAGCTGAGGCCATGTCAGTCTTACTGGGCCTTCTGCTTCCTGGAAGTCACCATCTCTGCTTCGTGTGAAGAATACACTCCACACATACACCATGCCTGAACACAGACACAGTCACACACACTTGGACAAGGGGCCCAATTGCATCTCAGGCACCAGGGGCCCCTTGTCCTGTTCTCCCAGGAGCAGACACACTTCTGCCAACAGCAGAAATGACGAAATAGCCGAAGGGGATGACCCAGGAGCTCACAGCATCATCCAGAGACCCTGGAGTATCTCAGGACCAGTACCCATGGCTTAGGGCTCACCGTCCCTTTCTGTCCGCCTGGAGCTGCCCACAGGAAGATGAGAGTGTTTAGTCTCTCAGCAGACCGCTGTTAAAAGAGATCTATCTTTGGGAAAGGGAGGAGCCTGGCTCACAGAGGACGGCTGCCTCCCCAGGTCTGCAACACCTGTCTCCAGGGAGATTGGCGGTATCAGCCAGCACAAGGCCCGACTGTCAGTGGACGGGGCATGTGGAGACTCAGATAAGGCTCTTGAGCTGGGGTGTGTACAGCACAGAGGCAACTGTGGTGATGCCTCCATAGGCCCATGACAGACTTTTAAAGAGGGCTGGGAAAAATGCATGGGGGAGGAAAAATGGAGTTACAGCCAGCACTTTCTCTTTTTTTTACCATGACTACACATCTCCCAGGGATAGAAGCATTTTAAACTATTTATTTATTTCCCATCTGCTCTATCACATCCTGCTGTTTGTACCTCCACTCTGCAAGCTCCACCAGGCTACCTCACCTCATCCAAGGTGAACAAACAGCCCAAGTGACTATCTGCAAGTCAAAGCTATGAGTCTTCCAAGCAAGGCAGTCTACCAGAAACACAAAGCACAGCTGGGCATGGTGGTGCATGCCTGTGATCTCAGCTCATGGTTTGGAGAGATGGTAGAATCAGGAGTTCAAGACCAGACTCTACTTACATAGTATCAGCCCGAGCCACATGAGATGTGTCTTAGGAAAAAGAAAAAGGGAAACAGAATTCAGTGGAAGCCACATATTGTATATATGCAATGTAAAATTTTTCTAGCTGCCAATCTGAGCTGAGTCACAGTGGAACAGAATTATAAAGGGACATTATTGGGACAACTTGCTAATTTTTTCCTTTAAATTATCTAGTTATTATTAATATGTGTGTTTGTGTGTGTGTGTGTGTGTGTGGTTGGGTGTGTATGTGTGTGTAGTGGGATGTGTATGTGTGTGTGTTTGTGTGTGTTTGTGTGTGTGTGTATAGTGGTGTGTTTGTGTGTATGTGTGTGTTTGTGTGTAGTAGTGTGTGTAGATGTGTTTGTGTGTAGTGGGGGTGTATGTAGTGTTGTGTATGTGTGTAATGGTGTGTGTGTGTATAGTGGTGTGTGTGTATATGTGTGTGTAGTGGGGGGGTGTAGTGGTGTGTATGTGTGTAGTGGGGTGTGTGTGTGTGTGTGTGTGTGTGTGTGTGTGTGTGTGTGTGTATGTGGGGTGCTGGTTTCCCAGCATGAATGTAGAACATGAAGGGCAGCTTTGTGAGGTCAGTTTTCTCCTTCAACCACGTGGGTTCTGGGGAAAGAGCTTAGGTCCTCAGATTAGCAGCAGGTGCCTTTACCCATTAAATTTATTCATCGGTAAACTTAACACTGATTCCTGTTAAAATTCTTAATGACATTGTGGTTGGGTGGAGGAATTTCTTATTCTGAAGAGATATATATGTTGTATTTATGGAAGAGAAAGCAGGTGACCCGCAGAGGACATAGTTAAAAAGAACAAAAGGTATTTGTGCTAATGTTCCTTCACAGTATCAATAAGTTTGGATTCTTCTCATAATAAAGGTCGAGAAAAATGTAAAAAAAAAAGAAAAGAAAGATAAGAGTAAATGTCAATAGTATATTTAAGTTGCTCTAATGTTTCCAAAACATTATTTGAATATAGTCAACATAAATACTAGCAAACTTGCACATTTCTCTGTATTTATGTGAAGTCTTTTATACATACAGCACACCTCAGCCAGGGCTGACCACACCTCAACCAGAATTAGACAGTGGTTGAGGGGTGTGCGGCTGGGGGAGTAGGTGGGGCAGAAGGGGGGCCGTGGACATGCAAATCAGATGAGCAGGATGGCCTGGCTTTGTTCACAGGGAGGGTGAGCGCTAGGGACCCTGGCAGCTCCTTTGTCTCAGCTATGGGAAGAGCACAGGGTGGAATCCAAACACTCCATTGTCCCAGCCTTGTAGCTGTCAAACTCTCTGACCTTTGGAAACTCTTTCTACCTTTCAGCATGCACCTCCTCCTCCACATTTGTCCCACGGGGTTGTTATTAAACTGGATGTAGTTCTGGAGTAATCGCTTAGGGGATGTATTTATATTGCTGGAGCTAGAAAGACGACTGAAGGATTAAGAATTTGCTGCTTTTGCCGAGGACCCAGGCTGGGTTCTCAGCATCTCAGGCTCACAACCATGTGTAACTCCAGTTCCAGGGCATCCAATGCCCCCTTCTGGCCTTTTAGGCACTGCACACAGTGGTACACAGACATAAAGGCAGACAAAAGACATAAAGGCAGACAAAACAATCATACACGTAAGAATTAAAAATAAAAAATAAACGAAAATTAGTAAAAATTTAAAATCGAAGGGCTGGAAAGATGACTCAGTTATTAAGAGTAGTTGCACTTTCAAATAGGATGTGAATAATTCACAACTGCCTGGAAATTGAACTTCAAGGGATCCATCTGAGAAAACCTGCACATGTGGCACACCCCAACACACACACACACACACGCGCACGCGCGCACACACACACAAACCTTTTTATTTAAAAAAAAAAAAAACACCTAAAAATGAAATCCAGTATCAGTACAGAAACGATGGCACCAGCAGGGGAGGCAGAGAGGCAGAAGAGGAAGGGAAGGGCCCGGGAGAGGAAGGTGCTGTGGGCCTGGAGTTCGAAGTCACTCTCAACACCACGGGCTGGACTTTGATGCTACCATAGGCCTCCTAGAGAGAAATTTATGGCTCTCACCTGCTCAGCGTGACAGGAAGCGGCTCCTCCCCAACGGCCCCACCCCTCTGTGGCCAAGCGATTCCAGGAAACCCCATTTCCAAGTGACCTCATGGTGTAATACGCTGCTCCCCACCCCAGGGACAGAAGGCAACAGGAGGGGAGAGCTAGGTCTCCTGCCTGCCACTGGGAAACGCTGGGTAGTCAAGGCGTCCTGGAGTTTGGACCTGCTTAGCTGCTGGGTGGTGGCCCAGGGTTCTGGGCGTGCCTGAGGCAGACCAGGTAACTTTGCTGAGCTGACATTCCTGCCTTTCGTTCAGCCCCGGATTCCTTTGCCTCTCTGACAGTGACGCACTTACAAGTGACTCAGTCTCAGGGAAAGGAAATTGGAGTGGACAGAAGCTGAAGATTGTGTGGACGGGCAGGGAAAGGCACGGTGATGCCCTCGACCAGGTCCCTGCGGGGACTCCAGCACGTAGCCTGTCCTGCCTGCTCCCGGCCCCTGAAGGACGCGGTGACCATAGCATGCGGACACTCTGTCTGCCTACCTTGCCTCCCGCGCACCCCGATGGGGGCCCAGCTACTGTGCCCGCTCTGTCAGGAGAAAGAAGAGGAGCAAACCCAGCCCGCAGTGACTCCAGTGCCCCTGGGTGCCCTAGGCGAGACCTGCTGCGAGGAGCACGGAGAGAAAATCTATTTCTTCTGCGAGACCGACGCGGAGCTGCTCTGCGTGTTCTGCCGGGAGAGCCCCGCCCACCAGGCGCACACCGTGGGGTTCCTGGACGAAGCCATCCAACCCTACAGGGTAAGGAGCTCAGCTGCTGCTTCGAGGCGGGCAGGATGGGGACCTGCCTGCCGAGGGTGGGTGAAGGAAAAGGGATGGAGATTTGCTAAAGGCATCGCTCAGCCCTCCTCTTCGCTCCTGTCTCCCTGCTGGCATACACACTACACACTTTTCCATCTCCACAGTGCCACCCGGTCCAATTCCTGACCTAGATCACCATCTAGGTCAAGGATTCGAATCTCCGCGCCTCAGTGGTGCGTCCACAACACAGCACACGGTATTTGCCAGTTGGATTTTTCACGGACCGCTTTCCCTATGCTTTCCTCTCTCTGGCAGGATCGTCTCAGGAGTAGGTTAGAAGCTCTAAGGACGGAGCGGGACAAGATAGAGGACAGGAAATGTGAAGAAGATCAGAAGCTCCGAGAGCTCCTGGTAAAGACCACGCTTCTGTTCCTTTGCTTTCATTTGTTTGTTTAGGTACAGGATCTCACATCGCTTAGATTCGCCTCAAATTCACTACTTAGCTGATCCTGCTATTTCCACCTCCCAGGTGCTGGGATTACAGCCATGTGTCACCGTACCCTGTTTATGACTAACGGATATCCAGCCGAGGGGGTTGTGCACGCTAGGCACCAACTAAATTACATCCTCAGGCTGCTCCCTTGGGAGTTTCCTTCAAAGATTAGGGAAGTCTGTTACCAGGCCGAGAAGAACTTCAGCATTTTCTATTTCATCTTCCTGCAGCCTCACAAAGGCATCTGGTGTCTCAGGACATGGAGGCTGGAGGTGGTTCTGATGTCTTTGAAGCCAAGAAATACGTTATTCTTCTCATATACAGGGGAAACCTGAGGTACCAACACCATGTGGCAAAGTCCAAATTCATGATGAAATGACTAGAACTTAGGTCTCTTGACCTGTGTCCATGGCTCTCCTGGCCCAGTGTATCCACTGGAAACATCACCTTCATCTGGGACACCTATGGGGGGTGTCCATTAGTGTCTAGGTTCAGGTCCTGAGGACAGCGGATGAATTAATTAAGTAGCTAGATTTTGCTGATTCTCACCTTTTCCTTCACGGTGCAGTTATCAAAAGGAAAATACACACTAGGTATTTCTGATACTTTGATCAAAGAGGCAGAGTGTTGAGACAGAAAGCTCTCTTCAGCATCTCTCAAATTCCACCAAAACATGCTTCATAGAGGGTAACTGATCACAATTCCCTTTTGTCTTAATCTTTCTCTATGAGATTACTGTCATTGGGTTGGATATATAGCTCAGTATGAAGACTGATTGCCTAGAATCATGGAGCCCTAGGTTCAATCCCTGTATTGAATAAAATGGCAGTTCTGATGTGATTCTAGCACTTGGGTGGTAGAGGTAGGAGGGTGAGAAGCTCAAGGTCATCCTTGACTAAACAATGAATTGAGCCAGCCTAGGCTACATGAGACATGGAAATATATCTCAAGAAAAGAAAGGTGTTAGTACAGTTATTCCACATGAGTCTAAAGATGTGGTAGGAGTGCTGGTTGGCTTTCTGTTAACTTGACACAAAATAGGGTCATTGAGGAAGAGGGAGCCCTTCCTAAGTGAGGAATTGAGGGGAAAAGAAAGCAGTTGAGAAAATGCTTCCATCGCACTGGCTGTACGTGGCAAGTCTATGGGACGTCTTCTTAATGAATTATTTGATGTTGGAAGGTCCAGCCTACACAGGAACAGGTGGTGTTGGTTAGACAGAAGGCTGAGCATGCCATGGAGAACAAACTATTAGGCGCGTTTTTTCACAGCCTGTTTCTAGGTTCTTGTCTGAGTTCCTGCCCTGAGTTCCCTCAGTGATGGAATGTGATGTGGAAGTATAAGATGAAATAAACCCTTTCCTTCTTTTTTATTTATTTATTTATTATGTATACAATATTCTGTCTGTGTATATGTCTGCAGGCCAGAAGAGGGCACCAGATGTCATTTCAGATGGTTGTGAGCCACCATGTGGTTGCCGGGAATTGAACTCAGGACCTTCGGAAGAGCAAGCAATGCTCTTAACCACTGAGCCATCTCTCCAGCCCAAACCCTTTCCTTCTTAATCTAGTTTTTGTTACGTTTTATCACAGTAACAGAGAAGAAAGCTAAAAAGGATTTTTTTTAGTCTAGTGTGGCTCTAAGAGTTTAATATGACTACAATCCCTGGCTAAGACAACAGCACAGCTCTTATCACCAGCAAGTTCAACTTGAGACCTATCGCTTCCTACCATTGTTATTATTTGAAGAAATGTGTCTTGAAACTGCTTATTCCTTGTTTCTCTTAATAAGTGCACAGATGATCCTTCTAGAGGCCAGTTCTGAGTCCCTCCTCATATCCTCACAGACGCAGATTGAAAGCAAGAAGCAACAGGTAGAAGCCACATTTGAAAGGCTGAAGCAGGAGCTTGGGGACCAGAGGCACCTCCTGATGACCAGGCTGGAGGGGCTGGAACAGCAGATCTGGAAGGAGAGGGAAGAGTACATCACTAAGGTCTCTCAGGAGGTGCACCGCCTGGGCGCCCAGGTCGAGGAGCTGGAGGAGAAGTGTCAGCGACCAGCAAGTGAGCTTCTGCAAGTGAGCGACGCTCCACAATCTTACCACCCTGTGGGACGGCAGACGTTCCACAAGAAGGGTGGTACTGTGCTGGAACTGGGAGGTGACAGAGAAAGGCAGGAAAAGGAAATGGGGATTATCTCCGCTGAGAAGGGCTGGGGGAGGGTGTGCTTTCTATGGCCCAAAAGACTGGAAATTTCCCAAGGCATGCATGAGGACCTTGTAACGATGACCAGGATCAGACAATCTTGAGTTTAGTGTCAGCTCTCCCAATTATGTCACGTGGGGAAGTCTCTTAGCTTCTCTAAGCAGTGGGTGATAACAGCATCCTTTCGTGGAGTTGTAAACCATGTAAGAAATAACCCATGGGTGGTGCTCAGAACAGTGCCCAGCGCGCAGGAAGAGCTCCATCAATGCCTTTGTGGTGGTGACCACAATCCTGCCCATCAGCTCCAACCTGGAATTGAGGCTGGTCTCTGCTCTCCATGGGAGAGCAGCACCCACTTAAGGATGCAGCTGGAATAGAGCAGTCAGAGCAAAGGAACTGGGTGCAGAGTCCTACACTAGTCAGGAAATATCAAGAGAGCAGTGAAATGCATGGCAGGTAATGAAGGGGTAGGAACTTTCAGCTGATGTTAAGACAGAAGGACCTAGCATAGCCAACGGGAAAGGCCATGTGGAAACTAACTGCATATTTTGTGTTTCTTTTGTAGGATGTCAGACTCAACCAGAGCAGGTAAGGCCCTCTCTAATCCTGCCTTCTTTATGTACATCTTGAAGAAACTGCAATCCATCTGTTCCCTTGTGGACAGCTAACCAGGAACGCACTGTAGCCACTTGTTCTCCACTAACAGCTTAAAATCAGTAAACAGATGGGTTGAAACTAGGCCTTGTAGCTCATGCCTTTAATCCCAGCACTTGGGAAGCTGTGGCGGAGGGATATGAGTTTGAAGCAAGCCTGGGCTACAGAGACCCTATCTCAAAGTAACTAAGTAAGTTGGTATGTTGGTTTTTGAGACATACTTTTCCCTCTCAAGGCAGTTATAAAAACCATGGCTTTAGAATGATCCAGATTTTTAAAAAATTACTTTCATTCTATGTGTAGGGGCATTTTGTCTGCAAATACGTCTGTTGCATTCTATGTGTAGGGGCATTTTGTCTGCAAATACGTTTGCACACTGTGTACATGTCTGGTGCCAGAAGAAACCAGAAGAGGCTGGAAGATCCCCTGAAACTAGAATTACAGATGGTTGTGAGCCACCCTGTAGATGCTGGGTACCGAACTCAGCGGTTTGGCCTGTCCAGCTCCCAGAAGTTAATATTAATCCATGATATTACTGGTGTTTTAGCACCTAAAGACATTTGAAAGTGTCTCCAAATGTGCTTCTCAAAGAATGTTAGAACTGAGTCAAGAAGGACGCAGTCTTACATTGTGATGGGGAGCTGAGAGGAGAAGGATTTATGCTGTCACATAGCCAACGAGTAATGAGAACTGAAATGAACAAGAACCAGGGCTTTTCACACACACAAATAAAATGAAGTACTTTATTTGTAGAATTTAAGTTTGATTTCCAACTCTTTTACAGGTATGAGACAAAGACTTTTGTGAGTCCAGAGGCCATTTCCTCTGATCTTGCTAAGAAGATCCGAAACCTCCACAGGAAAATACTTGGCCTCCCAAAGATGATGAGGACATTCTCAGGTAAAGGGAATCTTCTACCCTTCCATCTGTCTCTATCTTTCCCCATCTTCAAAACCTGGTTCAAACCACCAAGCAGGCCTGTAATGTTAGCACCAGGGAGACTGAGGCAGGAGAATCTCAAGTTTCAGGCCAGCCTGGACTACACAGTGAAACTCAAACAAAAATCAGCAAACAGCTTGGGTTAAGCATCTTTCCTCCCCCAGACCTTCCCACAAGACCTCACTCTACTGAGGGAGTAAGGATAGAGACACTGGGCTGAGAGTCCAGGAAAATGAGGCAGTTTCTCTTCTGTCCTTGTCCTCACACGGTAGCCAGGACACCCTCCCCTTGGAAGTACTGTAAGAGATAGCAAATCTCACAAACGTTTCTATTTCTTCTTTCCTCAGAAAACTTGATGCATCATTTGGAAACAGATTCAGGTAATGTGCAAGGGCTCTGGGGAGGGAAGCTCTGCCCCATTTATCCATTGCACCCATGGCCACACACAGCAATGAAATGTGCTCACTGGACCCTGACTGCTTGGGGTCTTGAGACTATTAAACCTTTTCTCTCCACCATAAAATGTAAACAAGAACAATCTACACTATAAATCCATATGAGGATTAAATAAATTAATGTTTACAAAGAACTCAGCACAGTACTGGACACATAGTGATTGATGGATGTTGTCAAGTTACCTATAGAGTCATTCAAAATATGTACTAAACCCCGAGTATTGCCTAGAATTATGCTACAATTGCCATTAATTTGAACTAATATTGTATATTATGCAAAAACTAGCATTTTGCTGGGTTGGTGGCACACAGCTACAATCCCAGAACTAGAGGCAGTCAGGTTGACTGCGACAAGTTTGAGGCCAGCCTGAGCTTCTGAGTTAGTTTCAGGTCAGCCTTAGCGACTGACACTCTCTGGGGCTGGGGTGGGCTCTAGGGCTGTATTAATAGCTTTCTGCTAGAGCTGGTTTGCCTAGAATGCATAAAGTCCCAGTACCACAAAAAAGGTGCTGAGAGAGGAGAGGGAGGAGCAAAAATAACATTTACTTTCAAATTGGAGCTTAATTGTTCCCACATGCACCTGCCTGTTCTTATACTGATCCCTACTTCAAGTTAGTGTAGAAATGCCATCCAGACACCTGGTTAAAATACGGGCTCTTGTTCGAGTGGTCTATGGTGGGGCTCGAGATTCTGTGTCTTTTAACAAGGTCCCAGGCACTGCACTGTAGCCTGGCCACCTCACTTTAATAAGAAGCAAATCCTCAGGCAGAGATGTCACATCTGTCACATCTGTCCTCCAGAGACAGAGGCCTAAGAAGCAGGCAGCATGGACAATGCTCCATCCTGGAAGTGCGGGTGTGAGGTCACTCTGAACCCTCAGACCACAAACCCGAGCCTGATCTTCTTCGAAGACGTAACGCCCACCTGAAGGTCAGCTGCACCACAGGAGTGGGCCCCGAGGTGGCCAGGATGTGGGGCGAGCAGACCCTGGATACCAAGGACAGGGACTGGATGCTCTTGCTCCAGCTGGTCAGCACCCACCTGTCCTGAACCTGGGGACACAGCCGTGCTTCACCGTGTAGACATGGCCTTGGACTACCAGGCAGGACGAGAGACCTTGCAAACATCCCATACCGCCGCACCAACCGTCATCTCTATTCCTCCCTCACCTGGAAAACAAGTTCCTGCCTGACTCTGAATGACTGAGGTGAAGTCAGGGACCCAGCTCTGTCCCTAGCCTTCAAAAGTGGGATTGGAATTTAGTGTCTTGGAGTCTTGTACAGCGGTTTTTAATCTGGGTTGAGTACATTCAGCTTCCTGCAGTCCTATTCGAGTGAAGAGCAGAGGCAGGCAAGGAAGGCTACACCCTGGACACCAGTAAGCTATGAGTCAACGGGATTCAGAAGGGGAAAAACAAAAGAAAACAAACAAAAAACCTATAAAAGCTTCAAAGTGATCAGTGTAGGGAAGCCAGGACTCTGTTTGGCTTGCATTAATTTATAGTGGCTTTTGGACACAAAAACTGGGTATGTTTTGGGGCCTCATCAACTCTGGGTGGGCCCCAAAGCCCTTTCAGGTCATTTGTACAGGTTTTCAATGTCTTAATAAAGTATGTTACCCACAGGCCTATGTGTTTTGTGTCTAATCTATCCATTGTGACAACTTTGAACTAGGACAGGCAAGAGTCTACAGTTCTGATGGTCAAGGCCTCTGTTAAATGACTGGTTCGCAGGGTGACATGTCTTTAGGTCACTGGGCTGTGCTCTGGAAGAGGACTATGGGAGCCTGGTTCACTGTTTCCCAATAGATGAGATGTGTGGCTTTGTCAAGCAGGCCTGCCAGGATATGCTGATGGCAGATGCCAAAAGCACTGAGACGGATGACCATAGACCGCACCTTCAGAACTCTGAGCCAAGACAAACCTTTACCTAGGTTGCCTCAGATGCTTGTAAAACAATTTTTTCCTTCCCCTAGGTGCAGCAGCATATAAGCCTTTAAATCTCACCCAGAGTCTGAGGCCAGCCACGTCTACATAGTGAGTTCCAGGCTACGGAGGGTTTCATATTGAGTTCCTGTCCAGTCCCTTAATTTTATGTATGTATGTAAGTTCTCTGTGTGTGAGTGTGAGTGAGTGTGAGTATGTGTGTGTGTGTGTGCACGCACACGTGTGAGCATCCAAATGTACCACTCAGTGTGTAATGTGCTAGTACGTGGAGTAAGGATACAGATAAAGACTTTCAAATCCCTCTGTAAAACAGAAACGGGCCACTGAGAAAGATCACAAGGCAGAGTGCCCCATGGGAATTCTGAACGACAGGAGCTTAAGGCAGTGAAGCAATCCTCTGACGTTCTGAAGGAAAACTATTTTGAATAATCCTATAGTGAATCCCTTCAGTGTACAAGTGAGATAAACAGTTCCAGATACTTGAAGATTTAAAAAAAAAAATCAAAAGTTATTAGATAAGGTGCGACCAAAACACAGTAAACGGGGAGAGAGGAAACATAGGGTCCAGAACCAGGACCATGGTTGGGGATGCAGCTGAGGAAGTGCTTGCCTAAGATGCATGAGATCCTGGGTTCAGTCCCCAGCACTGTGTAAACTAGGCATAGTGGCACCTACCTGAAAGCTCAGAATCTAGAAGGTAGAGGCTGTAAGGTTAAGGTCCTCTTCAGCCACCTAAGGAGACTGTGGCTAACCTGGCCTGAGGCCTTAGGGGAAAAAATCCCCGAACTTCCCAGTCTAATAACAAAAGGGGATCTAAAAAGCTGTGTGCAGAGGAGGAATCAATGACTCAGGTTCAAGGTCACTTCAGAGGCATCAAGATAAAACTGGAGACAGCACCAGAGGACTGTCTTGAGATTTCTGACCATTGAAAAGAACTTGTAGTTTATTTAGTAATAAAGACACAAGAAATGAATTAAAAGAGAAGGAAGAGAAGATGATTAATTCCAGGAAATAAAGGGTGGTGAGGGAGTCACTGTGCGTGTACTAGTGGCTCAGGCAGCATGTGATACAAAGTGTTCGGTCTTGAGACAGTGGTGACTCTGCGGTCATCAAGATTCGGTGTTTGGGAGCAGTCTCTCAAGAGCAAAGAGGAGCTGAACAGTCGGACAGGAAGAGGAAATGTGGAACGTTTAACGATAAAAAGAGGGGCATCGTGTTGGCTAACTGTGGACACTGGTGACTGAACACAGGGGCTGGGGCTGGGTCAGCAGGGAGACACGGCACGCGCTCCCCTCACAGTAAGATCTAGGGCGGGGGTTTTCCCTCTCCAACCCAGCTCCTAAGACAGTGATTCTGGACACTACTTGGTGCCAACAACAGAGGCCTAAAGCTGTCCCGAGACACTAGCTGGAGACCCTGAGCAGGAGTAGTGCTGACCTCCGAGGTATTGGCCTCAGTGTTCTTAGATCACTGATCAAGAGCAAGATGTTGGGATTGTTTTAGAAACTCCCTTCACAAAAACTACTCTGCAGAGGTAATTTATTAACCACGGTTGCTGCCTGAGTCACGGCACCTAGATGCTTTCGGAGACACAGATGGCCCTAGGGAGTTCCACCTGCTCAGCTCTGGGTTAGGAGGCCATGAGCTCTGCTAACTACGCCAGGGGATGATTCCACCAGCACTCAGGACACAAACTCACACAGCCTTGGAAACTTCAGTGGGTGTGGACTATGTTCATTCTCGCTTCTTCAGATATTTAACTCTAGCGGGGTAGGAAAAGTGAGGTTAAGAAGCCAGGGAAGGTAGGCAAGAGTCAGGAAAGAGTAAACCTCAAGTTGAGGACAGCAAAAAGGTTTCAGATGTCACTCAATACCTATGAGCACTGGACAAATGAACCAGAAAATGATATTGATGCTGCCCCTAACTCAACAGAGAACACAGAGTCAAGACAAATGGATGCTCAGGAAGGAGGGGGTCATTTGGTCTTCAGAGCAGGAGATCCCAGAGGAAATGGGCAGGGGGGTGAGAGGTTAGAACAAGAAATACAGACGGAGCGACGGCACTGGGAGAGCTTGGCCATGGCAGTGGGGACATGGGTGTGATTGGATGTGATGCCCCTCGACTCTCCTCCTCCTCTTGCTCTGGCCAAGAACGTTCCTCCGTCACACAGTTTTGGGATCCCACAGAAAGGAAGCTTCCACAGGTATGGGATCCAGGCAACCCTTCTTCATCTCAAGAGTCCTTGAGTCTCAGAGAACTGTAGACTCTGTAGTGTGGCCTAGGCGGGTTCTGGAACTCAGGGTCTCAGCAGGAGGCGTGTTCCTGGCCACCTGAGCCACAGGAAGGGAACCAGGCGCCGGGTGAAGGTGGCCGTGAAGGTGTAAATGAGCTCCTGCGACTCTGCATTAGTGAACGTCACGGTGCCCCCTTCATAATCCAGGGCGATGCCCACTCTCCGGGGCCGCAGCACTGGGAAGAGCTGGGCCTCGGGGCTCGTGTTGGCCCAGACGCCTGAGGAGGAGAGCCGAAGGGCCCACACACCATCCTCTGGCCTCAGGGACAGGTCCCCTTTCCTCTTCATAGAGTCTTTGGCCACTCCCACCATGCAGCTTTCCAGAACTTCCTCATCCTCTTCCTCTTCCTCCTCCTCTTCCTCCCCTAGAGATTCTTCATCCTCATCTGTTTCCCAGTCTTCATATCCATCCCCATAGCCAGCCTCCTCATCTTCTTCCTCCTCTTCCCCTTCCTCTTCTTCTTCCCCCTCCTCCTCATCCTCTGACCAGCCTTCTCGTTCCAACTCCACTTCCCAGTACACCTTGCCCCAGGTGAAGCCCTTGCTGCCCAACACCGCTGGCTCACAGTCAAACTGCTGGGGGTGCAGGCAATCCCTCTGGTACTGGCTGGTATAGGTCACACACTTCCAGTCTTCTGAAAGCTGCAGGTACCCGCTAGCCGACTGTGGGTCCAGGGTGACACTCACTGCGGGGAAACGGAGGAAGGAAGAATGTCAATGGCAGGCTGGGAAGGGGCGACCAGTGTCCACAGTGCTGCCTCACTGCACAACCCAAAGAGTATTGTTTACATCAGTCTTTGTGAAGGGTGTCCCCTAGAGGCACTCAGCACACACAGCACGGGTCTGGGTAGGATGACCTCTGGCCTTGGGCTTCCACAGCTGTTGGCTCTGAAAGGACCACGTGGTCAGGTAGACGAGAAGGACTAGAAGTGTGACCTGTGACGTCAAAGCATCACCAATACTGTAGACTACACAGTAACCAGAAATGTAACGCATGGGCCACCTTCGGACGACACCAGAGGGGATTCCACAGGGAGGAGTGTTTTGTTTACTCACCTGTCTTATACTCCAAGTCTCTCAGCAGCTTACCTAATGAGGAAAAAGAAGAAGGAAATGAGCTTCAGACTAGCAAACTCATGAACCTATTTCTTACTTGGTATTAATTATAGGACAGTGTTCCACTGGAGATCCCAAAGAGAGAAGATGCAGAAACTAGAGCTCCTTGGAAGGACGAGATGGGAGAAAATGGAAGTGAGGAGCTAGGAAACCTCCAAGCCTGGTGCTGTCCCCAGTGCTTACCCTGGAACTGCCTCAGGCCTCGCTGCAGAGAGAGAAGTTTATCCGAAAACTCTCCTGCCTTCCTCTTAACCATGTGAGGGATGGCTTTCCCAATCCAGAACTTCTTCCGTGGGTACCTGAGAACGTGACAGACACAACAACCTGTCATTTGGCTCTTCTTGCTTTTCTGCCAGGGTCTGTGACAATTATAAAGCAAGCATGAAAGTCTTGATTATCCCTAATCAAAAGACAGAAAAGCTGGTTAAAGACAAAACCAGGACCTAAGGCCACCAGCAGATCCCACAAGTGTGCACTCTGTCTAAGGAGCCAGGCTTGGCCTCTCCCACTGTGCTTCAGGTGAAGACAGCGAGCCCAGTTGGATGGGGAAAGAACGGCCTCTCGCCTTCAAAGATGGCTCTTTCTTAAAGGCATGGGATGAAACAGGGCTGCCTTGCCTATCACTCCCCATCATTTACAGGGACCATGGCCACAGAAGTAGGAGAGTAACAATGAGCAAAGGAAACTCTTACCTGTTGGCAAAGTCCTTGCTGTCCTGCAAAGAAAGAAAATTCAAGCACCAAAGTGAATTAAGTAAAACTGCATCCATAAGTCAACACCATATAACAGGCAGGCGCACAACAGCAAACAAAATATGCATGGCTTCCTCCCCTAGGGAACCGACAACCAAGAGGGGCTAGAAAACAAACAATGGGCTGGAGAGATGGCTCAGTGCTTAAGAGCACTGGCTGCTCTTTCAGAGGATCCAGGTTCGATTCCCAGCACCCACATGCAGCTCACTACCATCTACAACTCCAGTTTCAGGGAACCCAATGCCTTCTTCTGGCTTCCACAGGCACCAAGTACACAAGTGTGGACAGACATACATTCATGTAAAAACACCCAAACACATAATAAAATAAAATGAACAAACAACACAAGGGCAGAAATAACCAGAGGAGGCACGTGACCTGGCATCAAGGAGACACTTCCGCTAAGGTTTGAAGAATGATAAAGTACTGGCCGGGTGCAGACTGATAAGAAATGGGAAACGGTTTAGAGAGGAGGCGGGGCCAGATCACAGCAGGCAGGATGGGGTGACGGTGGCGAATTTTACTCTACGCACAGTGGGATAAAAGGCAACTATCCCTAGCACCCATTCCCCGACCTCCCCGCTTTTAAACATGTGTGTGTGTGTGTGTGTGTGTATACCACAATGTATGTACGTGGAGGTCAAAGGACAACTTGGTGGATTCGGCGCTCCTTCCACCATGTGGGTTCTGTGGGTTGATCACAGGTGACCAGGCTTGGTAGCAAATGCCTTTACCTGCTAAGCCATGTTACATGTCCTTTTTCCTTCTTTATAATATTATAAACTCCTTAAGTTCTGGCATGACATGTGACCAATCAAGAAACTACATTTCCCACATTCCCTACAATGAAGTCTGGTCATGTGACTAAGTCCCAATGGGATCAGGGGGGAAAGACCAAGACTGCTTATTCTTGTTCTTAAAAAAAAAAAAATTGCTTTCTAGTTCCTTTCTTCTCATTGGCTGAATTTTGAACAGTGATTGCTACGGCTGAGAACAATACCCCCAAGACTAGACAGTGGCAAATAAACCAAGTCTTGGACGACCTCATGGATGTCTCTAGACTCACACCTCTGAACTTCATGGATGTCTCT